AACAACAACAACAAAAACAACATCAACAACAACAACATCAACTTCAGCATCTGCAACATCAACATCAGCATCAACAAAACTCGGATTTTTTCTAAAATTTATTTTTATTAGAAACTGTGATAGAAATTAAGCAATAAATACACACACATACACACCACACACACACACAAACCAACACACACATATAAATACGCACACAAACACCACACACACACACACAAACACACACGCACACTCACATACATTCGTGTTTAACTTACTTTGTTCGTTAATGTTAATGGCAATACAAACAAACATACACACACACAATCAATGGTTCATGAGCTATTACATTTGCTATGTCGATATATCAATAAGATTAAACACACACACACACACACAAACACACACACACACACACACAAACAAACACACACACAAACAGGTGTACAAATACAAATACATAAACACAAATAATACTAAAATTAACTTTATTTAATACGTATTCTAAATATAAGGTACATGAGTGTATTCGGGTTTCATTAATTGGTAAGTCATTTGATATATTCTATGCAGTCATAATGAGATTATATGTGAATGATAAAACACACAGAAACACAAACACACAGAAAAACATCCACACAGACACACACACAAACATCCACACACACAAAGACACACACACACACAAAGACACACACACTTATTAAATACAAACGACAATTAACGAATCGTTACTTCTCAAGGTATATATATATGTATATATATATATATATATATATATATACATACAAATTATATATATTTATAATTTATAATATTTACAAATTATAAGTTACTTCAATTCATTAGACTAAGTATTCGACTTAAGATCCGCGCATACATGTGTGAAAATTATGTGTGGCATAATTAAAAAGACAGAAATAATTTCGAATATGTAATTATTGTTACTATTATAGTTATTAATAATTTTCTCTCTTTGTCTCTCTCTCTTTCTATCTTTTATTATTATCATTATTTTTATTATTAAAATTATTTTTAATATAATTACGGGATGAATAATTCATCTTTTTAAATTTTCTCACTTGACTTGTTCTCTATTTTTCTCTTTAAATCTCTCTCACTCTCTCTCTTTTTTTTAATTTTTTCTTTTTTTCTCTGTTTTTCTTTCTATCTTTCACCGTTTCGTTTGTATATCATTTTACTTTTATTCGAACCCTCTTTCAATCAAACTCTATCTACCTAATCTATCTTTCCCTCTCTTTCTCTCCCTCTCTCTCTTTCTTTCTGTCTCTCTCTCTCTCTCCTTCTTCTACTTTTTATTATTATTATTATTTCGTGACATTATTAACAATAATGACATCAAAATTAATGCGATTGGTGGTGTATGTACCGACCCACATGCATCCTAGCATGCAATTGATGTTCGTAATTGCTATGGATGAACTTTTAGATCATTCATTCGCCACACACGATGAAGATGATGACCTCCGATCAAGTGATGAAGAAGATCATGATGATGAAGAAGGTGAAGATGATAGAGATGATAAAGAAGATGTTAGAGATGATGAAGAAAATGATGATTGTCATCCAGTGACTTTATCACCATCATCATCGTCGTCATCATCATAATCATTTAAATAACATTACCATCTTTATCGTCATCACAGACATCGTCCCCAGTTGATTTATCATCTATGTCATCACCATCAACATCATCATCGTCAACATCATTATTATAATTCACTGTGTAGCTACTACTCTTACATTGACACACACACACACACACACACACACACACACACACACACACACACACACACACGTGAAATAACGCATCTTTAATGGACGAATGAACAATTAAAACGATAAATGGGGCTTACCTGGCTTTCGACCGGGCCATGAATGAATGAATGAAAAAATGAACGAAAGAATGAAAAAATGAACGAAAGAATGAAAAAATGAACGAAAGAATGAAAAAATGAACGAAAGAATGAAAAAATGAACGAAAGAATGAAAAAATGAACGAAAGAATGAAAAAATGAACGAAAGAATGAAAAAATGAACGAAAGAATGAAAAAATGAACGAAAGAATGAAAAAATGAATGAAGAAATAAATGAAGGAATGAATGAATGAAAGAAGGAATCGAAATTAATTTTACAAAGCAACAACCAAAATGTGACTGGTGACTCAACCTCGCCCAGTTTTCACAGGTAAAGAGAAAGTGCTACGAACACAAAATTAAAAACCAAAAAAGCTCGCAAATGTTTTTCTCCGCCATCATTGTTTGCGTTCGCTCGTTGCTCTAGCGATACCACGTGATCATGTTTGCCTTGTGATTCGTGTGCAAACATTCTATTGTATGTATGTTTGTATGTGTGTGCTTGTGTGCATGTGTGTGCGTTTGTATACCTGAAAGTAAACACCAATGTCGTTTGTATAGCAGACAAAACTGAATTTTAAACCAATCTACACACCTAGGGCCTGATCTAGAGGTGCGAAAGCCCTGGGTCAACGAAGACATAGGGACTCTGTGGCAAAGAAGATGTGTGGGGGGGGGTAATTAATTTTTTTTATTTGCGGAATCAAATGGGTATCAACCGGCTTTCAAGAGTTGGCCTGCATTCTCTTAGAACCGTGTGTGTAATACCGATAGATCAGACGGATGAATGATTAGAAATCAACTTCTTCGATGTGAAATTTAAAATAAAAAACTTCTCCACACCATAGTGGAGAAGTTTTTTCATTCAACGACCATATGAAATGACCATTCACCTCTTAGCCATAGTTTTACTTTATGTCTCGATATATACATATACCAATGTTTTTTTTGTATCTATATATATATATAGAGAGAGAGAGAATGAGAGAGAATGAGAGAGAGAGAGAGAGAGAGAGAGAGAGAGAGAGAGAGAGAGAGAGAGAGAGAGAGAGAGAGAATACTATCAAGCTATTCACAAGACTTCAAAAAAAATTATATTACTTTCGTCAACGACTTCTTTAACTTTCAATCTCTCACAAATCTATAAAAACTTTTAAAGAAATGCGAATTGAAATTGAGCACGTCATCATCAACATAACCATCACTTTAGTCATCATCATCCTCTTCTTCTTTATCATCATCATTATTACTAACCATCATCAACAAAAAAACCAAATGAAATACAATTAAATTGACAATTTCATTTTATTTTCTTCACTTTTTCAGCAGAGACCAAAAAAATTTTCATCCATCTATCTATTAACCAACACTAAACATTGGCTTGAACTAAAAATGGCTTAAACATTGCAATGAATGACTGAATCCCCAAGCTGTATGTATATTGAAAAGTCGAAATTTTTTAAGGTAATTAAGATAATAATAATTATTATTATTTATTGTTATTATTATTATTCCTATGGGGATAAATAATTACATTCCTCCATCTTTATTTCTTCAGTCATTCAATGGTGGCCACTCCCTCCTGACTCAGTTGGTGGGGCAAAGGGGTCATCTGGGAAAAAATAGGGAAACAAATTTTGTTGAAAAATTAATTTTAATTATAAACTTGATTAGATTTAATGAAATTATTGTTAGTCATTTAGTTATATTTAACTTTTAGTTATCGTTAAATTAACTTACGAATTCTCTTCTTTCTGATCTCAGTCCACATTTCAACATTCCCAGGTGAGTTTACTGCGATGGAAAATGATAAAACAATAAAATATATTTAAGAAATAAATAAATAATAACCAAAAACTTAACCATATAGTATATAAGAAACAGAATATTTTAAATTAAATCTATGATTCTATAATTACCATTACAGTAAGAATACATCATTATATTTATTCACTAAATTAAAATAAATTCATATTAATTAATTAACTAATTATTATTTGTAAAATTAATAATATTATTCATGATTTATCTAATATAATTTAGTTTTAGAGTGTCAGTGATAGCAAATTACTAACCAGCTCTGTCAATCTTGTAAAATACAGGCAGAGAAAGCACAAAGGCATACGCTATGTACCTGAAGCCACGGCCATTTTTCCAGTAGAACCTCCATGGGAAGAAAAAACTTTTCGCCAGCTTGCCATAAGGAACCTTCATGAGACGGCCGGGCCCTGTGTCTGGCATGTCATACACCATTTTTGCTTTGCTCAGTTAGTTGGGGTCTCTAGATGAGGGGAGAAAAAATTAATAATTGGTAATTAGGATTATATTATTGTAACATTAATTCAATCAAAAAATTGAAAGCAGCAATGAAGCTAAAATCCATTGTGAGCGATATTATAACTCAAGGTCAGTATATTATTTAATTTATCGTTTAGCAAAAATAATCAAACTAAAAAATTTAAAATGTTATAAATTGAAAATTTATGAAAATAAAATTTACAAAACAGACATTATAAAACAGGAACTTGAAGCAAAACCAATGTCACTTACCTACAATAACTTTTAAACAATAATAGCAAAGAAAGATAATTTTTTTAAATGTCTGCCACTAGCGAATCTAAAAGGGTGGCCATGACCCCTTCCTAGTTGTAAGCAAAATTTTTATTAAAAGTCAGTAAACCTCAGTTTTTTGGAAAAAATTTGCCAAAACGTTATCATTATATACAGCTACGCACTATAGTTCAATTTTTTTTGTGGCAGTGACATAGTGAATTAAGCTGGCATTTTTTTTTAATAGGTTCAAGTCATACCTACTAAATCACCCGAGTGTGTAAATATTTGGTAATGAACATATTAAGTAGGACACGTACAAGAAAGTCTGCATCTTTATTAACCATTTTATTTTTTCATTATTAAAATCCCACTTTAAACTTTGTGACGTAACAAAAATCAAAGATATCAACTTACGAAGCCACAAAATTAAAAGATAATAAGAATAATATTAAATATTATTATGAATAATACTGTCTTAAATATGTGTCCTTCTTATTATATTAATTTGTAATAATTCAAAAATAAATTTAATTTAAATTTATTGTACAAAGTCTTTCTTGTTCGTCCTGAATGTACATGTATGTATGTGTACGTGTTTGTTTGTTTGTTTGTTTATATGTACGTACGTATGTATATGTGTATGTATGAACGTATGCGTGTGTTTGTGTGTGTGTGAAAATGTTTGTGTATGTGTGTTCTTGACGAAAGGCAGATCTCTGAGTAGGTTGTATGATTAGAAATCAACGATCAACATGAATAAAATTCAAAATATTATTAAAATATAATGATGATTATGATTGCAAAGATGATGATGATAATAATGATGATTGAAATGGTAGTAATGATAATGATTTTGGATAATATGACGATGAAGATGCTCATCGCGATAGGAAGATGATGATGATGAAAATAATAATAATATAAATAATAACAATAATAATAATAATATAATAGTATGGTTATTTTTATTGTTATTATTAATAATACAATGTTCCATCCAATGTTCCAATCATGGTTAATTTCATTTTTTTTAAACTCTTCATGACATCACGTTCTTTCAAAG